CGTGTGGTGACGGATTAAGAATACAAATTGTCACCACCCCAATTCATCCCGTGGGTGTCGTAAGATCCGACTAAGGGAGCAAACTAAGCAGGACAACAGCACTGCAAAGAGAAGGAAAATTTGAAACAAACCTTATACCAACCCGTCTGGCCAGCGTGGTATAGTAGGCCAAAACCTCCTTTCTAAGGAGAGGCCTATGTCCAGCAGTGGACTAGTATAGGCTGTTGATGTAAATGTGAATCGGCAAACATATGACAGTCGTAAGGTAATCACCGAATCACGTTCTTCATAGTCGTAGAATAGTATCGGATCTGACATTTATTGAACTGTACAGGACAACCATTTCAAATACGTAATTATGTTAGTTTCTTTGACATAAATCTTTTAATTCTAAATCTGTACTTATGAAAATGGGCCATACAAGTGAAAAATAGGGTTTGTTTTAAAATGCAATAAAAATAACAACTAATAATTTTACAATTTTCTAGAAAAATCACAACAAACAAACGCCAAACTTCTTAATAGACTTGTACGCATATAAAAAGGATCCTACAAAGGCAAAAGTCGGGAGTCGAGATTCACGAAACCCAGGCCCAAGCAAATGATAACAATATAAGGTTTTGGAGTCTCAAATCTTTATAAATTTAGTAGAGGTTTTTATTCAATGGTTATTTTTACTAGATCTTAAGTGACTTTATATGAACACCCTTGATATATATAGAATTTTCTAGATAGGATAATTAAGTTTCTAGCGCTCTAGCGAGTGGTATAAATACAGGCACGCCTTCGCCGATGGAGATAGGACAGTTCAGTTTGAACTACAGTGCGATATACATAGAAGCGATCAAAGCGAACAGAAGAGTAACCCAGCGGCCTCGGTAATCATGCCGAACTTTTATTAAGTATTTTTTGAACGTATTTAAGTGTATTAGTAATAAAGTCTCGTAAGTCGTCAGAAGTCATTTTGTTTAGAATCAACAAACCCTAACACGTAATAATATGGATGAAAGTGCTGTTTTGTTTTAGATGTTGTATAGTTCGTTGATCGATACTGTATGGTCTTAGACAGAGGCTTTATACTTGTTGGTAGTACTACCTGAATTGTTCGTATGCTTGTTTGCTCCCCAAATGAGCAAAAACAATCTTGATCATAACAAGGAATTTTCTAATAACACAGCCAGAAGCTATGTTGGATTTTATTCGTTTATGTGTGTCAAAATAGTTGTGGCACGGGTAAATAAAAGAATAGATTATGTCTAACTGCGGTACAACACAATAGATTTTTTGTTTCTTGAAATTTTTAGTCTAGAACTATCTTATTTTAATAATACTTTGTATTCGATAAAGTATTTACTGAGGAATAATGTAGCCTAGAAAATGGCACGCTCACACTCTAGAAACGAAGCAGTAACTATCAACGTATGAAACAAAACTGTGGGAAATGCCAAGTAACCAATATTAGACTAACAAATAGTTGAGAAAATCGTTATGTATGTTAACTCTCACTCTATCGACAAAATATTGAGTGACCTTCAACAACAATATAATAGCTAATTAATCGATTACACAAATCGAAATCAGTCAACCGTGTCGATGATGCCAATTACGATCGAAGCATGCAACTCGGTCGATTAACGAACTTAATAGGGACGTTTGATATTGCGTATATTTAATTACTTTATACTTATGCAATGTTGCATAAAACGGAACATAAAAGCTATCATCTCGAAAGTTGTTTAGTTTTAAAACCAATTTTATTATCACTAATTAATTAACATTAAGACACACATCAGATTAATAATTATGCTGTTTTTTTTAGTCAATCACAAAAAGATAAATATGAATTAACTGTAATCACTTCTTAAAAATGATTACTTAAAACTTCGTAACTTTGTATGCTACATACTAATTATATGTGTTACATATAGAGAGAACTTCCAAGTTTCGAAGCATGGGAGGACCAAAAGTGTTATAACTCTTTAAAAATGATTACTTAAAATGTTGTGACTTTGTATGATATCAGTCATATGTGTTATATATGGAGAGAACTTTCAAGTTGCAAAGCATGGGAGGACCATAAGTGTAATATCATCATCATCATCAACAGCCTTTACTAGTCCACTGCTGGACATAGGCCTCTCCTTAGAAAGGAGGCTTTGGCCTACTAAGTGTAATAACTTTTTAAAAATGATTACTTAAAACTTTGTAACTTTGTGTGACATCAGTCATATGTGGTGGCAACGTACTTGTGACTCTTGAATATCAAGCGTCCATGGTCGGTGGTAGTCACTTACCATCAAGTTTATATTGGAGGTGACCTGTCTGCTCGTTTGCCCCATATTTCATTAAAAATACATTCAAGGTCACAAAATATTATAGTGTAATGAGCGTACGGTTTTAGGCACGACCGGAATCAATCAATATTAACGACGTATAAGTGCACACGTGAATTCGATTTTTTTCAGTGTATGTCAAACATATAAGTATTGAAAATAAAACAAATATTAAAAAAATACCTTATGCACACGCGGCCATCCGATCTTTATCAAAACAAAACTTGTACCATGGTAGTACCAGACTGCTAATAAAAATTCTTATATACCTAAATGAAATAAAAACATATATATACATATAATAATATAAACATATAATATATATAAATTACAGCTAGAGAAGAAAAAATGATTGCGCACATCACGGAATTATTTTACCTGGGTGGGAATCGAAACCATTATCTGGACCAACAGTCAGGGTCACTAAACACTAGATCAACAGACCTGGGCCTCAATTCTGCTATTTTAATATTGTATCAATAGACTGTCGATGGAATGTTGTCGGAATAGTTTTGCACTTTTCTTATTCTACTAACTATGTAAGACCAATGGCCTCCCGATGACTTGTCACTGATACAAATATCGTCGATGTCTTTGTAATAGTTTGGTACACGCTACATTTTAAATTTGTAAGAAAATGATATATTTAATTTTCCAGGTATGGCAATGTTGTTGATATCACCATTGATGAGCTATATTACTATATTGACAGTCTATTGACACTTTGAATTTATGTTAGCAGAATACTGATATTTTGACCGATGTCGATGGCGTCTCAATGGCATCTCAATAGCGTGTCAATGGAATGACAGTGGCTTGGCGTTAACATATAATAGCAGAATTGAGGCACTGTGTATGTGTTCAAAGGTAACTTCAAAAATATTTATTTCGTATGAGTAATGTTGCAAATTTTATCAATAAATTACACCTGAGCACACATATTTACCACACACAAATCTACACAGCTAAACCAATATATGCATAAAACTGTTTGTTGAAACATAAAAATTAAATTATTAGTTATTACACATTGCATTTATACTGCATAACTCTAAAATCGATATTTGAGTAGAACAATTCGCTTCTTTGATTTATAGCTATTAATTACTACTATATAATACATCAGGAACGTAAAACAAAGTTTAAAATACCGGAAAGAAGGTTTTTAAATAACTTTCAAAAAAGATTCTTAATTCGGTTGTATTCTTTTTTATGTTTGTAAAACTCAGAACTACGTCATTAACCGATTTTGAAGATTAGATAGATATATACTCTTAATTGCACACCATGTTTAAGAAACATTCAATTCAGAATATAACCAAAAAAGCAATGAAAAACAATGGTACAATGGACCGCCTTATCTCAGTCTGCGATCTCTTACAGGCAACCTTTAGATGGGTATGTATAGTGATGAGTAGTTGGGCAAATTCTGTTTTATTTAGGAGGGTACTTCCTGTTTGAACTTTAAAATTTGAAGAAGAAAATACCACCCCTAAGAGTGAAAAATTAAGAACACAGCTTAATAAATGATGCATTCGTGAGGTGACATATTAAGAATAGGAAGTTTCATTCGTGGGTGTCGTATGAGTCCACTAGGAGAGCAAACTACGCAGGACAACAGCAATGCAAAGAGAAGGAAACCCTATACCGACCCGTCTGAGCAGCGTCTTTCAAAGGAGAGGCCTATGTCCAGCAGTCGACTATAAAAGGCTGTTGATGATGATGACCCAGGAGTATCTGGTGATTCCAATAAGAACCACCCCGACGGCCAGCCTGAGGTGTCCTACTCTGGGAGGACCCGGACCACGTTATTTCAGGTCCTCCCCGAATCATAATATCCACTTAATACTTGACTTAATATCCGTATCCGTAGTTTTTATAAATCCTACTTTTTTATCACTTTGATAACATTGTGATAAGGAAATCAGATTGAACACACTTAAATTATGTTGACATAGATAACATTCAGACGAAAATCTATTTTATTAACGGACGTCGTCAAAAAGGGAATGATAATGTTACGACCATTATTATTAACAGATCCTACACAAAAATTAATACCTTAACTCTAGCAAAATTAATAAAAGTAAGACTCATGGTACGAGAAATAGTGATTGTATACGTTTATTTTAACTGTTATGTGTCTTTTTGTTTTCTTTTTATTGGTAAAAGGGGGTAAGCGACAGTACCAAGGATTTTATTTCTAGGGTACACCTGGCGTACACCAGGGCGTGCGGTTTTTGGTCGGTTCGAGTCCGACATAACCACCGAGGGGATCGCCGCACAGAAAAAAAATAAGGGGGTAAGCGAGCAGACAGGTTAGACAGGTAACGGTAAGTAACTTAGGGTTTGGGCTCCGCTTACTTCACGCACTTGGTGAAAGAATTAATTGACGCCCGTTTTCTGTGAGTCCGTGGTATGACTCCGGCCGAGTCGGCCCATTTGTGCGTAAGCATGACTCTCCACGGCAGAGCGTCAAATTACGAATTTGATTTCTTCTTAAAATCAATTTAATCATGTCTGGCGGTATTATTAGATCTTAGATTTCATGTATATCGTTAGCTCTATAAGAAGCATTACTTAATAGTTCTCTAATAGTTGTCTTGTTTTAGTTACTGCAAACTATGAATAATCGGTTATATAAAAAGGAAAATAAAAACAACTTACCAATCTTGGCGCTGCTAAACACGATCAACGCATGCGTATCATCCACCCACTTAATTTCAAAACCTGTGTCTTTGTATTCACTGAACAACGAAAACAAATCGTTCGTTTTGAACTCACTCGGAAAGTCGTACACTTCAACTACATGCGCGAAAGTTTCATCGTACGGTCCATTGAACAACGCTTGCCCTTTCGTCTGGTATTGATCATAATTATTCTTCGGCTTGCTTATATGTACTTTGCCAACTGTAGTAGTAAGCTCTTCAAGTAGCGAGGGGTCCAGACATTCCCCACTATCGTCAAAAACAGCATCCCAGTCATTCTCCTCTCGTTTCAGAGATACTTTAGCCTCCAATTTAGGTTTCAACTTTTTCGCTTCAGGTTCTTTCGTTTCGGCAATAGGCTCGTCAGGTACTTCCTCTTTTGTTTCGACTGGATCTGATATCACTAGGACATCAGAATGAAAACTCTGCTTGATAATTCTCTTACTACTCCTATTAATCTCTAGAGATGCCCTTTTCAACTCATTCTTCTCTACGTCATCCTCATCTTTAACATATAAATAATCGTTTTCTATAATATTATTGCTTTGATTTGCTTCGCTTACGGCCATGTTATCGTCGGACTCATTGGTCCTCCAATCTGGGTCCTCAACGTTTTCCCGGCTTTCCGCGTAGTCACTATAATACCCGGGACTGTAGAAGCCAAGTTGTCCGTTCACGAAATAATCTCCTATATAAAAATTCTCACCTACTTCTACTTCGTTAGAACTATTATCACTAAAAGATATTGCACTATCACTATTTGGCACTTGGAAGCCTGAAGGCACGGATTCTTTTATATCGCTGGATGTTGCTGTGTCGTCTGTGTCTATGCTTGGGGCCGTTTGAGATCTTTGATTCCTGAGATGAGGTGGTGTGTAGACGTTGCAGTAGTTTTTGTCTATAGATTTCCTTGGGGTTGCATGTGCGGACTTGTCTCTGGGTGCAGGTGACTTTGGGCACTTTGGTCCTTCAACGCTCTGACTAGTTCGTTTATTAGTATCTTTATTTTCCTCTGAGGTGTTGTTTTCAGCGGTGCGAAGCGCTCGCGGGACGTACACCGCACGATCTGGCCGCCGAGGTTTGGTTGAACCAGATCTGTAGACAAAGTGTTACATGATAACTCGATAAAAACACGCCCACATTTTGATAACGGTAACGAAAAACCCCGACCATTTTATTACAACCTCATAAACATCATTGAGCAATATTGCAACATAAGTTTTATGAAGTGTTACAACTTGCAATGTGAGGCTTTGCTTCATACAACTTGGTCAATATGCTATTGGTAATAAAACATGCTGAACGGGATCACGAAGCACAGAAACAAATCATCCCACAAACTGATTAAATTAATAAATTTAAATGTCATTGCTTATTTCTGTCGTTTTATTTAAAAAATCTAGCTGTTATCTATAAATCGATAAAAAGCTTGTTTTAAAGTTTCATAAATACAGACCTTTTCTTTAATAAGCAATCTATACTTAATTTTGGTATACTTAAGTTTGTGTTGGGTCATTTTTGTAAAACTCGGTAAAAATGTAAGCGTTAACAAACCGTAAGCAGAGAGGGAGACTATGCACATTAAGTACCTATAATAAGAAGAATAGAAATATTTTAACATAACCGTTTGATTTATTATTGGTCTCAGATTGTGCATTTGCAGACAAGAAAAGTAAACTACTTAATTGGTAATCAAGCACAATCCACGATTTTATTCCCTGCTATTTAGATCGTAAACAATAAAATGTATTACAACACCAGTGCAACACACTAACATCTCTGAGTCACACGCGTACTCCTACAATAATCTAAAATCTCATTATCATTTACAAACAATACAACAAAACAGCCTCATTACTGTCAAAATACTGTCATATCACTATAAGAATGTCATCCACCTGGGGCGTCCGCGCATTCATTTCTATTACCACAATCACGTAACAATCAAGTGGGGCAAGGCCACTCGCTGCCTCTCGCGGCACACTTTCGACCGTTTTCGGCCGCAACTGGTTTGTGCAATGAATGTTGTTGACATCACTATAGTCTGGACCTAGTTCTGTTGTGTTGTAACATCATCAGATTGCTATCTGTTACTGTTGATACAGATAATAATCTGATTATTCTTGTTTTAGTTAAATCGTACAAGTGAAAGTACAGGTTAAGATTTCATTCTACAATCTTAGTACCTAATACTTACGCTCTTTATATTGTTATCTTTTTAGTAATCTTAAATTTTAAACAGATTTTTTTATAGTTAATTATTTGAAACACGCTTATATTGGTGTAATAACTTGTTTGAGGATTCTGTCTATGACATGAATAGAGATTTACATTTTGTTTTGTTTAAGTTATAAAATTGCTATTTCTACAGTATTATGACTGCAATTGTACTAGCATTGTTTACATAGTATATGAATCAATTGTATTGAAAATTCTACAGCTATTTTATTCAACTTTAATCCTATATTTTATTTCGCCCGATACGAATACATCAATTCTCAGGTGTGTTGCAATTTTCTCTTCAAAACTGATAAATCAATCCCATAAAACACAAATTACTTAGGTCGACCATAGAGCTTGTAAATGGATACAGAAAAAAATATCGATATAGAAAACGTAATGAAAAGATGTCGAAAAACAATATTATAACAATTATCAAAGATTATAATTAAGAATTACAAAAGCGTGCCAAAATACACAGTTAATTTTGTAAGAATCAAATAGAAGTTTTGAAATAGTTTCAATCTGAAAGTTATAACTGTCATTTTTTTTTTAAACTGTTGTATTAAAATCTACGCAACTTTAATTTAATTTTCCAGTAGGTTGAGTTTGTGCAGTAATTAATATATATTAACATAATAATTATGTTTTGTTTTTGTTTTTTGTTGTTAATATTTTCTTGTCTATTGTCTGGTTTTATTTCATTAACCATTTAACTTGAACCATCGTTGTTTAGACTTTGTCTCATGACTGATCAAAATATACACTGGACCCCTATAGCTTTATGCAGCCCTTTATACATAAACTTTTAACTTTATAGCATAATATTGTTGTAATAAGTTAACTTTATGTACACATTGAGTATTCCAAATATGACATGCGTCTGTGCGCCATATTTGTTTAAAAGGGTGTACAAAATTTTCTTGGCGTGATAATATATATATAAATCACTTCTACAGGGTCCAAAATGTTGACTTCTGGCCTTTGTAAGACACCTCCATGCGAAGTGGAACAATGACTTATAAACCCTGTTAAATAGTATTAACCTTTCATACCAACCATTACTCAACAAGCTCGTAATCTATTCAAATATTTCACGCCGTTCTATCATACTCTCTATACCAATCAGGTGAAGGGGCAAAAGTCAAGTATCATGGTGCCGGCCAGTTACTAACGAAACCAAGTTTAATGATTGTATAATTTTCATCTTTTCTTGGCATTTATTTTTGTTACCATATATGCTAAATAATTGTATATTATACACATTAAAACACCCAGCTATCGCTTGCGTGATTATTCTTTATTTCGTGTTTCTAATTTTGGAATTGACGAACGAACAGTTGTATGAAAACGTTCATCCTTTATTTTGCCCCCTTTGGGATGAAATTTGTAAAAAATATATCTTAATGGGTGCTTACAAGATAAAAAGAATCCGCTGGCGAAATTTCGAGTTTGTAGCCACATCGGTTTAGGCTCTACCTTGATGAATCAGTCAGCCAGAGCAAGTATTTTTTTTATATATAGATTAGTATTATCAGAATAGGGAGGTTGCAAATTTGAATTCTGGCTAAAACACTCGCATTTGATACGTGTGACTTTACTTTGTCACACTATTTTGTGATTACGCCACTAACCGATATATTGACAGTACTCCATTATATATACATATGTAGTCATGTTATAATACTCTTTTAGAATTGACAGTTTGTTTATAGGTTAGTGGCTTAAAGAATCAAGTTACTTTCGCGATCACGTGATGAAAAAAATATTAAATGTAGTAGTTTTTTTAATTACGTTATAACGTTATTCTATTTGTGACAAGTGTCGACATCTCTACTAATTTTAATTTTTAATTTTTCGAGAAATGTATTTAAAAACTTAGTTGACTATTAATTATACATTTATAATTATATATAATTATGTATAATTTATTTTCCCTAAAATATAAGTCTGTTCTTTAATACAGTTTTCTTTAAAATATTATATTATAATGGCATACCATAAATAAATTGCAACACGAATAAATGAGTTACAGATTGAGAATTGTGGTGACCGATTAAGAACACGGAGTGTCACCATCCCTATTCATCACATGGGTGTTGTAAGAGCAAGGGAGCAAAATACGCAGGACACAGCACTGCAAACAGAAGGAAAACTTGAAACATACCCTATACCAACCAGTCTAGCCAGCGCTGTATCGTATACCAAAGCCTCCTCTCTAAGAAGAGGCCTGTGAGAGGCTTTATTTCGACAAAAAGTATAATATAAGCTGCCTGCAATAGACTACCTACTAACAATAACGATTTATTAACCTATCAAAATTTACTAACAATAGACTTCCTGATATATTTTATTTCACAACTATGTCAAAATAAATAGTTTTGAAACAGATATTTTTCAGTTGCATATGTTCTATCGTTACTAGATCGTTGCTTAAAGTGCGATTACTAATCATGGACAGTTATTAAGTTGCCGTCACTAGTGCCCGATTACTGTTATTATTTATTACTATCTTACAACATTTGCATGCTACAAAGAAGCTGTGTTATAACGTATTATGTGGAGTACGCAATTCATATTTAGATTACATCGATAGATAGTTACAAATGAGTTACATGAGTTAAGATCTTGTACACATGTACGTAATCTGAGTTAATTTATTATTAGTTATAAATAACTGCAGTTTAATCCTGCTATTTCATTCCATTTGCATATAAAAGTCTTTAAAATGGCCGGCTATGTGTTAAACATCTTGTTGTACATCTATTTTCTTAGTTAATTTCTTAATTAGTGATGATAATTTTTATTTTCCCACTATTGTCGTAGTGTAGCAGACTTAAAAAACAGACGTTTTATTTGCGTTGTTATTGTTTTCTTGTGAACGCAATTTGTGATCAATTTTTTTTCACCATGCCCTCTGACCTCAGACGAGGCAGAGTAAGTACCTGTATGGTAACCAGACCGCTGATAAACATACTTATATATTTCTAAATATATACAGATTATAAGTAAATTACACCCAGACAGAACAAATGATCGTACTCATCACACAATTATTTAACGTGGGTGGCAATCGATCTCATGAATTCTGGCTTAACAGTTAGGATCACTAACCACAAGACATGGGAATTATTACTAATTTTAAATCATCTTTATATGATGAAATGATTAGTTTTATTCACAGTGATTTCACATGTGATTGTGATTTCGTCATAGACAAAGATAAATGGCATTAAAGTCAATCAAAATTCTTTTCATCAAAGATTACGACCTTTTTTTTAGATTTAGACCTTTCGTGAGTTTTGCGCTAGCGTAATAATTAAGTAGCAGTGGTTTTGTACATCAGACACAGGTTTAATGATATGATTTATCACATGTGATTGTGTGTAACGAAAATTTCAGCTGCGTTTGTGGTCACTGCTCCGCTAATAAGGGTGGTAGTGATGTTAAATCAATAAATTACTTGCTCTGACTTATTGTTTCATCAACGCAGAGCCGCTAGGGCTACAAAATTGAAAATTTGGCAACTGATGCTTTTTCTGTTGTAAGCACCCACTAAGAAAAGATTTTGGAAAATTTCGCCCCTAAAGGTATAAAATAAGGGATAAATAATTGTATGGTAGAAATTCGTCATTCTCAATGTTAGAAACACAAAATAGTAATCTGTATTATTCCTCAATAAACCAATTTAAACCTGACTGAACAGTTCCTTAGATTATTTCGTTATTTATTATTATTGATTAATAAACAAGCTATAATCTTCCTAGCTCCAATAAATGAGTAATATTTGTAAATAGTATAGATAGTAGGAGATAATGGCTGTAATCATTACACAGCCATTACAAAACGTCATAAATATAATTGATTAACTAATCTGTTTATCATTTTGTTGTTGTTCACTGTTTCTTCACACAGTTGATTATAAAAAACTTTGACGTAGATTATTAAAACAAACGTATTGTCTTTTCAACCTTTTGAACCTAAACTCTATAGCTAACAGGCATATTATTGTCCTTTAGGGTCAGTGAGTGAATGACACAGCAGGTTTCTGTTCGAATCGGTGTTAGTCGACTCATAAACCACTCTACTTGCATAGTTTGGTTTTGCTGTTGGTAAATATAATTACAGTTCAGCCATAAGCAACTTGTAATGTATGTATAGGTAACGAAAACCGCTTACCATCAAAGCAGGCTGTTCTTCTTTGGCAACTTAGTTGACTAACAGCAAAATAAAGTTAAGTGTATATTAAATATTACTAAGGTTATATATAGAATGTTTTACTTTAAAGAAAATTTGTTGCATAGGCAATGCGTATGTTTAGATCTTAAAATAAAGCCGGTTGGTATAGTATCATATTAACCTTTCGCGAGAGTAGTATTTTTACATAACGTATCTCAAATCCATTTTCTTCATACGCCATTTGTCACGAATATTACACTACATCAAAACAATCATATGACCTTCATACAATCACAGAAACATTCTTTATATCAAAGTAATACATACATTGGCCTTAATAAAACGCATCTGTGTACAGTTTTCCTTATTTGCCACTGACAAGCAAACACAAGGACATAATATATACTTTAAATTTCTTTGTTATTATCACGTAAGCACACATGCAGTCTATCAAGGAGACTTTCGTTTCGAATATGACATTGTCGAATCTAATAAATATGAACTCATCATAAACACCGTATTTTCCAATATTTGATGACGCAGTAATACCAATCCAAAGGAAAACTTACGTGGAAACACTCTTAGCCCTCCAAATGTGCACTACATCACTTTAAAGCACAGACTGACACATTAAAACACTGTCAATAATTTTTAATCACTTCACAACTCTTTATCAGTGAACGATAAAGGGCCTGACAGACGTCCATCCGTGTCGCGTTCAAAACAACAAATGATGTAGGAAGTATTGTTGATACCGACCTGATCTTTTCCTGAGGCTGCGTGCGGCGCGACGCCTGCGCCGGTTTGCAACCTCCCACCGCTGCGGCTGCGAAACAGTGTTACATAAAGTTACCATGCTTCGGTCATATCAAGGACGGACAGAGGCTTATCGAAGAGTTTTTAGACGAGATTTATAATTCATTTTTATAAGATATGTTACTGTTGGATTTTATATTATTCAATATTAGAAATTGCAGTGTTTTTATTATGGAGTTCAATTCAGCCTAAACTATCAGAGATTTAATAAAATATAAAGTATGGTATGCCTATATTTTTTATAATTTAAGTATCGAGGTTCGATTCCAATACGGTAGAAATCGCTGGCAAAATGTAATTTGCGTCAATAGACTGTATATTTTTAATAGTCTTACTCGTATATAACCTTTTAAATCATTCCATATTACATGTACAGTGTAATAAATTAATTTAAAATACAGTCCACCTTTAATTTATAATTTCGCTGCGTTACTCGAAGATAAAACAGTATGTGTGTGTGTGTGTAAGTGATTTTGTTTTTATTTATTAGTGTTGAACTAAGCATTCTCCAGGCAACGTTCCTATCAAAATTTTTTTTTCTATGTTATAGGGCAGACGGGTCACGTAATGAAAAGTGATTAACGCCGCCCATGAACGCCTGCGACTCAAGAGTCTCAAACGAGTTGCAGTCCTTTGAGGTACGTCCACTTCCCTCTTTTCTTGAAGGTTTCAAGGTCCTATCAATCAGGAAATAATTTTAACAGACAATAATTTTATATCATTATATACGGAAATAATTAAATTTTAAAAGAGATGAATTGTAATAAATTGTATTCTTCATACCTTAAGTTTAGGTTAATTAAAATTTAAAGAAAAAACATTCTTATGAAGGGTAGATAATGAAAGGATGGAGAATACATTCATCATGGTGAATGCACACTGAGGTTCGTGGTACTATTTAAAAATTATTAACTAGTACTATTTATCATTAAGAACTCAATCAATCTGGGTCGTTAACCCAGCAATAATTTAATTGTGATTCACCTAATGGGAAAATAAACAGACTTCGTAAGATTACGTTCATGTATCTTTTGTTTTGCACCGCAACAAAATCAATAAGGAAAACAAAACTGATTGAAGACGGACTGTTGCGAAGTTACATACATATATTTCTGTAATCTTTTTCTAAATATTCTGATATTCCCACCATGAAGCCGTGTTATCACTCCAAACGAGTCGGGCCATACCTTTCGAAGCATGGCTCTCATACGGCTAACAAACAAACTAAAAAAAAACATGCTAAATGGACAAAAGCTCAACGAAAAAGCTTCCAGCGAATGGCCTTAGACCAAATCCAACCGCGTAACCTCAATTAGCTAGTAAGTACCTGGATGGCTATGCTCGGTATTTCTTTTTTAGGAAATTTTCTAAAAATGAAACCTAGCTAGATCGATTAATCGCTCCTGAAACCCTGCATACTAAATTTCATGAAAATCGTTGGTGCCGTTGCCCAGATTCAGATTATATATACAAGACTTGATCATTTAAAGGTATTAGATAGATTGGAAAGCTATGAAAACATAGGAAAACATACATTGTGTGACACTTTTAATCAATCTCGCCGATTTGCTTATATTTTGTGTTTCGGCTAAATTCGAAATTTATTTCCATTTATTATAAGTATTAATTTAAAAAAAATTTATTAAAAAATATATACAATAGAAAAAAAACGACACAGGTATAAAATAAATAGAGGCCAACTAATTAGTGTCCAATGGCATCTAAATAATTGAATAATAATCACATTACAGCACTTTAAATAAAATGCGATAAGTAATTTCCCCGCACCGGTAAAGTGAGTAATTACATTTGTATGTAATGTTTAATACATGAGTAGTAAATAAAAAATAACGACCGAAAATAATACCTAATCTATAATGTAATCCAAAATCTTTAGATTTAGGACAGTTCTTCATCAGAAAACATTACCTTTTTAAGTAACTCCAAAACAGAAGGCGGTTCGTTTTAACAAAAAAAAACCGTCATTTTTGTACCAATTTGTTGTTGTTTTTTTGGGTACTACTTGGGTGGAAAATTATGGAAGGAAGAATACAGTTTCATGGAATTCATTATGATATACATAGTTTCCTCTTCATATTAGTGTTAAAAAAACTATTCATTAACATCAACAGCCTTTGCTAGTCCACTGCTGGACATAGGCCTCACCTTAGAAAGGAGGTAAAAAAACTATTAAGGACTAGAAAAGAAAATCCATGGAGTTTACAGTTATATTTCGAGACTAGCTGACCCGCGCAACTTCGTCTGCGTCTCTCAATAGTAATAAAATTTCTCCGTTTTTGAAACATTCTTCATTGGTGCTCCGCTCCTATTGGTCTTAGCGTGATGATATATAGCCTACAGCCTTCCTCGATAAATGGGCTATCTAACACTGACAGAATTTTTTAAATCGGACCCGTAGTTCCTGAGATTAGCGCGTTCAAACAAACAAACAAACTCTTCAGCTTTATAATATTAGTATAGATTTTATTTTATACGTACGAAATATGCTGACGAAGTGTACCCTCTTTACTTCTACTGTAACATTGGATAGGATCAGGGCGTCTGATTCTTGAAGGATCTTAATTTAAGTTGAATAACATTGTAACTTTATATGACCAGAACAGCAAAACCTATCTCCAAAAGAATGTATTAGGTATTCACTTTATAATGGAAACGCGAGTTTCTTAGATAAATAAAGCCTTCGATCTCTATGTAATATGTCCTATGACAACAGATAGCGTGGTCTCCTCTCTATTACATCAGTGTAGTGAACGTAGTTCCCATAGTAGCAGCAAGCTTTACAGCCACGTTTTTGTGCTTTGCTATTGCATCGTAACTCGAAGAACTCGGTCTCAAGGAAGAACATCTTTTAGTACGGTAGTAAACTAAAGATTCCAATGATTACGAACACATGTCTTTACTCACTACTTACTTACTTTACTAAACAATCTATCCAAATAAATAAATAAAATTAAGTATCTGTTTTTTACACACGGTTATTTGCATGATACCTATGCCTAAAAACCAGTTTAAATATTTTTTGTCTGTATGTCTGTTTGTTCCAGGTAATCTTCAAAACGGTCAGACGTTTAGGTTTATTACACCCGGACAAAACCAATGATGCTGCTCATAACACAATACTTGTTATGAGTGGGAATCGAATCCAATACCTCTGGCTTAGCAATCAAGATCGCTACCAGACCAACAGGCCCGTTGGATACTCTTTAAACAGCATTAGACTGAAAACTAAAAATCAAATGCTAAAACCACTCTGTCGATAATAATGCAACCCACATATGACCTTTTATTGCAAGCGAAAGCAGCATTATTTCAATATATTACAAATACACCTACTTACACAAGACCAAACGAAAGAGGATTGCAAGCAATACCTAACAGATCGAAACCGATTGCAGCAAGAGCTGCAACCAATCTCCCTCCATTTATGTGTTAAGATCTATTTAATATTTATATGTAGGTACTAGATTGTGCTTGCGACTTCGTTCGCGTGGAATTTGAAAAGCGCTGCCTCAGTGGGTTCGATTCCCGGACAGGGCAAAATTTTATAGTTATATCATATAGTACTCCTTATATAGACAGCTACCTGGTAGTAAAATATTAGCAAAATCGGTCCAGCCGTATTGAAGATTATTCGGAACAAACAAACAGACAGAAAAAAAATTAAACTCGTTTTTAGGCATAGGTATCGTGCAAATATCCGTGTGAGCATGAAAAAACGAGTGCGCTTTAGACCACACGACTGAAGTAAAATTTCTTGGCAAAGAGAGAAAGAAAATATATGCTCGCACCTCTACCTTACCACGAAATGTAAGTTTCTCTCTTTCGCATTCACCAGCTTACTCCCCAAATCAAGCGTGCGTAAAGAAGTTTTACTCCAAAAACCATATTATAGTGACATTACAAACAGACACTTCGTTTTTGTTTATTTGTACAGATATTCACGAGCCAACGTTTGCCGAACTTATTTCTTAAAACAAAAGAAATCACAATTACATCCAAAAGAACATTTACTTTTTTATTGGGGGGGGTTACTGCAAAAATCCACCACCAGGTATGGTACTTGCCGTGTGCCGAGTTTGGCGAACTCAAATGGTAACAATATATATATATCACTAAACTAAAGCACTAAACACTGTAAATAGTTTTAGGTACCTGGGCCACATTGTCACGAGCGACCTAAGGGACGATGGAGATATAGAGAGGGAGCGCAGGGCATTGTCTGTGAGGAGCAATATGCTCGCCCGCAGGTTCGCTCGTTGTGGCGAGGATGCCAAAGTAACCCTTTAGGGCGTTTTGTGAGTCTTTCTACGCGAGCGGCCTGTGGGTGTCATACACGCGACGGGCCTACAATGTCCTGCGTGTTCAATATAATAATGCGTCCAGGATGCTGTTGGGGCTGCCGCAGCGCTGTAGCGCATCAGGTATTTTCGCGTAGGCTCGCATAGATGATTTCTACGCAATTATGCGAAAGAAAACGGCCTCCTTACTCAAGCGCCTACATGACAGTGACAACAGCATTCTGAAATTGATCGCTGCCAGGCTGGACTGCCCATTCCAGAAACAATGGGTGGGGACAGTCATAGGTCTTTACAAATAGTAAATATAGGTAAAAATGTAATTACTAATAATACTAACCTATCAACTTAAGCACTATTGTTACTAAACAATAACAAACGCTAAAACACTAACATAAATATGGACCTTAGTCTGAAATAAACTTTTATTATTATTATAAATATATTTATTTTTTAAACACAACAAATAGTACGAGTTTATCTTACTTATCAATCACCTGTACTTCTGGAATCCATTTCTTTAATAACGACTCAGTCTCACTCAACAGACTCAGTGATGCAGTATTTTTAATCATTAACTATAAGTCAAAAACGCAGGACACCAGCACTGCAAAAAGGAAAACTTGACACAAACCCTATACCAACACGTCTGGCCAGCGTGGTATAGTAGGCCAAAACCTCCTTTCTAAGGAGA